TTTTCCCACATCCCCACTCTGCCTGCCCATCAGTCACACACTCCTGAAAGGGGCAGCACCCCTGTCTGATTCCTCTCCCACCCTTCTGCAAGTCCTCAGTTCACGTTTGGGGAATGAACGTTTCTTCTATGGCTCTCAAGGGCAAATCAGGAGAAATAATAGTCACCTAGTCCAGGTCCTCCGTCTTCTTTTTGCCTAAAACTCTAAAAGCTTAAACATAAATAAAGGGAAATGGTCTGGAAAAATAACCACTTGGCATGGAACAACTGGCATTTCAGAGCTGCATCAGAAGTGGAAATACTGTTTTTCAGAAATTCAGCACAGCCATGAGTTGTTAACTCCTAGCCACTTGGCACAAGCTTTTCGATTGTTTGGATGTGATGGACGATGTTGATAGAAGTGGTGGAGACCAAACACGGCTATTAATAGGCTGAACGTGGCACTTTTATCTCTCTCTCTTTCTCACTCACTAGCTCTCTGGCACCAAACTGTTGCCAACCCGCCTACCTTTGGCTCTGAGGTGCCATCACCTCCAGCAACAGGGCACCACAGGAGCCGTGTTTCCTGCCCATGTCCGAGCACGTTCATCCTCAAGCCTAAAAGGCCAAGGCTGCTGGCCAACGTGGGCTGCTTGTGTGTGCAGAGCTTCAAGGGAATCACAAGGCCTGAAGCTTCCTTGGGTGCAGTCCCCACCTCGCACAGAGCAAGCAGTAGATTATCACAGTTTAGGGGAGTCAGGAAGCTCTCAATTCCCCCATGTATTTCTCTTACCCACCTCCTCCCTGCAAGAATTTGAGGCAACCCCGATCTCAAGGCTGGAGCACATCCACCCTACTTGGCCCAAGTCAGAACTGTTTCAAGGCAGAAGGATCCCCATGGTTCCCTAAAGGATACTGTTTCTGGGAACTCTCTCCAGATTCAAACTCTACAAGGATTTACTGAGTACCTATGACATTTCAGTCTCTGAGCCCACCCATTTTCATATAGGATCTCACTTAATCCTTACAACAAGGAATTATTGTCCCCACTTGACAAATGAGGAAACTGAGGCACACAGTGATCACACAATTAGCTGAGATCACATGATTAGTAAAGGGAGGAGTCTTCTGATTCCAAGTTCAGGATTGGAGAGGACCCTGGCAAAGGCCCTGTTGGGAAGTGTGCCCTGCACTCTCCATGGGTATGGTCACTTTGCTGCAGCTCTTCTGAAGCCTGAGCTGCTGGGTCTCTCCCTCTGAGCACCACGTGTTTCCCCAGCCCCAGAGCTCCCTGATCCTGGCCAGCTGTCCTCAACCTGCACTGGCTCAGCCACCAGGGAAGCCATGGCAAAGATCAGAGCTGGACTGGTTTGTCTCTAGCACTATTTTTAATATCCATTAAATGACAGTAAAAATCCTTTCTTCCTTCCAGAGTTATTGTGAAGACCAAATCATAACTGTGGAAATGCTCAACCACCTAGGGATTCCCAGAAGCTCAAAACAGTCTATGCACATGTTGACCATACATATCCAGGTTTGCTCTGGGGAGACCAGCTTATGTCTGTTGTCTAGCATAATTATTAATATGAGTAGCAATTATTAATATCATACTCTCAAAAGTGTCCCCATTTAGACAGTGAATATGTAGAGTGAATCACACGGATCACTCTACATACGTAGCATTTGCTGCCTTAGGGTCTGAGGGAACTGGGGGCCCCTCCCTGCCCTCTGGCCTCCATGTCTCCCAGCTCCCACACCCACCTTGTCCAGTGGGAGGGGTGGTGCTCAGTACTGCAGACCCTTGGCCAGGGTCCCTGCTACCAGGCTCACAGACAGGCATCATTTTGTTAGATCAAAGTAATTATTAGTAGACAGTTTTTAGCAGGGCAGTGTCACAGTGCCTGGATTAACTGCAATTATAGGTCACTCCTTTAAGGTTTATTCCATCAATTATGGACAATCTCAGTCACATGCCCAGCTGCCTTAACCCTTTGTGGCTTGAATTACTCAGCACAGAAGAGGCTGTAACCATGGAGAAGGCTGACTATATTTGCTACTGAATCATTGCCCTGTGGATGTCAGTTTAGAGCCTCCCCTCTTACGAGGCGCTTTCTTGCAGTTTCCTATTTGATCTCTGAGAGACAGGGAGAGCCACTCCCATCTCACAGATGGGAAAACTGAGACTTGGAATATTTAAGCAATTACCCAACGTCACACAGCTAGGAACACCAATTCTTAGAACACTGTGTTGCCAAAACATTGTTTTCTTTAGCAATCAATGAGTGTGACCTGCACGGGAACCCTTCAGAATGTGACCCTTGGGCTTCAGTAGTCTGACCCGGCCCCAGGGCGAGGCATATGGGACAGCATCTGAGGGCATCCAGAGGCAGGCCTGCCAAGGAGTCAGTCCAACGCATCAGATGCTGCATGCTCGCCATGCAGAGTCACCCTGCACCTGGAGCAATTCAAGCGGCCTTACTGTCAGAGAGAAAAAGAAAAGAAACTCCAAGAAAATGTCCACACCAGAAAAATATACAAACATGGAGACACAGAACCTTCCTTCTTCCACTGTTCAGCAAGGAGAGTAGCCAGAAGGCACCTCTTGCTAGTGAGGGGATGGCAGGACACCCACAGGCCCCAGACACCTAAGGGTGTCTCAGTGTTGAGATGAGAGAAGCCGGGGAACACTTCCTTCTACTTCCAGAGCCTTTATTTGGGCTCCTGCCCCATATCTACTATGCCCTGCCACCGGTCACAGAACGCTAGTTCAAAGATCTCCAAGATCCCACAGTCCAAAGCCCCATTTTACAGATGGGGGAACTGAGGCACCAAGCAGGAAGTGCCCTGCCTATGACCCAGCTTGCTAGGGCCGAGCTGAGAGGGAGCGGAGGGCCTTCCCCTCTGCTGGGTTCTTGCTGCCCGTGGCTGTGAGCTGCCGCAGGGAACTGGGGGGCCATCTCCTGTGTCTCTCGTGGGAAAGTTTGCTGCTTCCTTTCTTCCATCTCTCTCTTTCCTCCGCCCTCATCTCACTCTCCTCACCCACATTTCTTCCCTCTTGCATTATTTCCATTTCCCTGTTTTCCAGAAACAGGGTTTAAGACTGTCAGCCAGAGTTTCTAGGTCTGAATGGAACTCACTGTGCTGGAGCCCCCAGGCTCCCACTGGGTAGTCACCCCAGACTCTAGGCTGCTTTGTGGCAGGGTCTGGGTCCTATGTGTCTCTCTCTCCCCATTACTTCACACAGGGCCTGGCACATAGTAGTGGATACTCAGTAGGCACTCAAATGAATGAATGAGTGAGTGAATGAATGAAATACCATGCCAAACAAATATCGTATATTAACAAGGAGAGGAGAATCAAGCAAAGTGATTCCAATACAGGTCTCACCGTTCAGGTAGTAAATAGCTCTTAGAATTGGGGGAGGGGAGGGAGGAGAGTCTGAGTCACCTTTAAATTCCTCATTCCACTGACTAAACAGATACTTATCTGTTTAGAATCCATTGTTTAAGCCTTTAAATGTAACAGCTGTGATCAAAGACCTAGGAAAACAGAAACTGCAGCCAAGCTCTCCCCCCAGGCTCCTCAGCCTGGAGAAGCTCTAGGATCAGAGCTATAACCCTGCAAAGGTGGTGGAACAAATGATGCTTGTGAGGAAAACCTGTCTTTCCAGCCACAGCCGTTTTCAATTCTGCAGAAGTGGCTTGGGGGTCCCTGAGAGGAAGAGCAAATGCTGGGGCTCCCGGACAACCACTGCAGTTGATGACTTGCTAAGCTTTTGAAACCCGGGTCAAAGTAAAGGAAAAAGACTGTACAGGCCAAAGGCACTGACATCTCTCCACGCAGATGTCCCTGGCTTCCGGGCAGTGACTCCTAATCAGCTGCCTCTTGTCACTTGGGACCAGGTGGACTGGGGGCGTGGGGAAGGGTTAGGCCCAGGAGAATGAATTGCTTCATTGAAGAAACCCAGCTGGGCCCAGGACTGTAAGTTGTGGGGAGCCAGGTGGGCTGGGGCAGGGGTGGGGGGCGCGGGGAGGGCGCGGAGATAAGGTATTCCTGCAGGGCTGGAAAACGCCAGGCAACTGTGAGCTATGAGGGTCAGAGGTGCACATTCTTCCTGGAGAACTCACCCCTCTCCCTCCAGCTGCTACCAGCTGCTGAGCAAGGTGGGACAGCCAGGAGACATGGGTCAGGTGGCCAGAGGTAGAGAGACAAGTACAGAAGAAAAGGCATGGGAGCCAAAAACAGAGGTGGTCATGGGTGTGGAGAGTGTCAGAGCTGGGACAGTTCTTGGAGTCTTCTCATCTTACAAACCGGAACACTGAAGCCTAGACCTGGCTGAGGTCAATCAGCTCCTAGGTCCAGATCTAGAATCTAGCTCCCTAGACCCCCTACTCCAGTGCTCCTTCTGCCACACCATGTAGACTCCACAGCAGTTAATATAAAACACAAACTGTGCTGAATGGGAGAAAATATTTGCAAACGATATGACCCATAAGGGGTTAATATCCAACATATATAAACAGCTCATGCAACTCAACATCAAAAAACCAAACAACTCGATTAAAAAAATGGGCAGAAGCCATCGACAGATGAATGGATAAAGAAGATGTGGTACATATATGCAATGGACTATTACTCAGCCATAAAAAGGAACGAAATCGGGTCATTTGTAGAGATGTGGATGGACCCAGAGACTGTCATACAGAGTGAAGTAAGTCAGAAAGAGAAAAACAAATATCGTATATTAACACATATATGTGGAATCTAGAAAAACAGTACAGATGAACCCATTTGCAAGGCAGAAATAGAGACACAGATGTAAAGAACAAACGTATGGACACCAAGGGGGGAAAGTGGGGTATGTGGGGTGGTGGTGGTGGGATGAATTGGGAGATTGGGATTGACATATATACACTAATATGTATAAAATAGATAACTAATAAGAACCTGCTGTATAAAAAATTAATTAATTAAATTAAAAAAAAAAAAGGGCAGAAGGACGGCGGGCCACATTGGCCGGTCATGGCAGCGTGGAGCCAGGCTGCGGCAGCGCCTCTGCTCAGCGGAACCTGCCGCCTTCCTCTTCTCCACTGTGCTCAGCGCATGTTTGCCTCGCAGACTGAGGGGGAGCTCAAAGTGACCCAAATTCTCAAAGAAAAGTTTCCTCAAGCTACAGCTATCAAAGTCACTGACATTTCAGGAGGCTGTGGGGCAATGTATAAAATTCAAATTGAATTGGAAGAACTTAAGGAGAAGAGAACGGTCCAACAGCACCAGATGGTAAATCAGGCATTAAAAGAAGAAATCAGGGCTTCCCTGGTGGCGCAGTGGTTGAGAATCCGCCTGCCAATGCAGGGGACACAGGTTCGAGCCCTGGTCCAGGAAGATCCCACATGCCGTGGAGCAACTAAGCCCATGTGCCACAACTACTGAGCCTGCGCTTTACAGCCTGTGCTCCACAACGAGAGAAGCCACCGCAATGAGAAGCCCATGCACCTCAACGAAGAGTAGCCCCCGCTCACCACAACTAGAGAAAGACGGCACGCAGCAACGAAGATACAACACAGCCAAAAATAAATTAATTAATTAAATAAATTTTTAAAAAAAGAAAAAGGTACACACAGATTGCAGATATTTACCTCTGTCCCCAGACACTGACCATGCCCTGGCTGTGTAGATGTTGCTGCTAAAACCTTGGATGAATCTTACTGCCACCATTCTTTCCTAGGCATGTGACAAAAAATTTATCTATTTTACTCATAGACATTTCCATATTGTAATTATAGAAGAATACGGCATCTATTTAGATGTTAATTAAAGGCAACAGACAACTAAAAAAAAAGAAAAAAATGGGCAGAAGAACTGAACAGACATTTTTCCAAAGAGGAAATGCAGACGGCCAACAGGTACATGAAAAGATGCCCAACATCCCTAATCATCAGAGAAATGCAAATCAAAACCACAATGAGATATCACCTCACACTTGTAAGGATGGCCATCATCAAAAAGTCTACAAATAACAAATGTCGGCAAGGATATGGAGAAAAGGGAACCATTGTACACTGTTGGTGGGAATGTAAATTGGTGCAGCCACTGTGAAAAACAGTATGAAGGTTTCTCAAAAAACTAAAAACAGAACTACCATATGACCCAGCAATTCCACTCCTGGGTATATATCTGAAAAAAACAAAAACACTAATTCGAAAAGATACATGCACCCAATGTTCACCGCAGCATTATTTACAATTGCCAAGATATGGAAGCAACTATCTATCTAACTATATCTATAACTGTATACCTATATCTGTATCTGTACACACACACACACACACACACACACACACACACACACACACACAAAGGAATACTACTCAGCCATAAAAAAGAATGAAATTTTGCCATTTGCAGCAACATGGATGGACTTGGAGAGTATTATGCTAAGTGAAATAAGCCAGACAGAGAAAGACAAATACTGTATGATATCGCTTATACATGGGATCTAAAAAATACAACAAACTAGTGAATATAACAAAAAAGCAGCAGACTCACAGATGTAGAGAACAAACTAGTGATTACCAGGGGAGACAGGGAAGGGGGAGGGGCAATATAGGGGTAGGAGGTTAGCAGAGGTAGTAGAGGTACAAACTACTATGTACAAAATAAGTTACAAGGGTATATTGTACAAAATGGGGAATATAGCCAATATTTTACAATAACTATAACTGGAGCATAACCTTTAAAAATTGTGACTCACTATATTGTACACCTGTAACATATAACATTGTACATCAACTATATTTCAATAATAAAAAAATTTTAATTTAAATTTTTTAAAAAGACCTAAATTTTTAAAAACATACAAACTGTGCCACCCCTCTGCCTAAATCCCTTCTGTGGCTCCCCACGGCCTCTAGGATAGAGGTGAACCCCTTAAGCAAGGCACCTGCATGATCTGACCCTTGCCTACCTCTCCAGCCCCATCACACCATAGACTCAAGCCACATTTTGTCTTTATTCACACTCCTCCAAAATGCTCTGCACTGTCATGTCTCTAGGCCTTTGCACACATTTCCTGGGCCAGGAGTGACCTTCCTCTCTTGGCCTATCATATTCCTAGTCAACCTAGACCCAAATACGTTCTCACTACTCCCACTGCCCCACCCTCCTGAGCCACCTCCTCTTCTGTGCTACCTCTGCTGGACATCAGGCCTCTCTGGGAAACAATCTAAGTGCATTAAGTATCTGTTTACTGGGCTGTGAGCTCTTTGAGTGTGGAAACAAGGTCCTTTTCATCCTCCGGTTTCTCCCTGACCCCCAGCACCTAGCAGAGTGCCCAGTATGTGAGAAAAACTCCATTAATGTTTGCAGAATTAATTATCAAATTAAGGAGTGAGTGAACCCCTGGGCAGCACTGATAGCGCCTTGTTTATGTTCCTCATGAAGCTACTTAACCTCCAGAAGGACGAGCAGTACTCAGAATCCTCAACCCCCGATTTTCTCTCTGATCTCCCTTCCTCCCCACGTGGGAGGGCGGTGGGGTCTCGCCACAACCAGGAGTCATATGAGGTGGTATCTCTGCGGGGAAAAGAGCAACTGAGATCCAGAGGCCCTGAGTAACGCCTCCAGCTTATGTGAACACAGGTCACTGAACAGTGATGGCAAAGCAGCCAGACTGGTTACTGAGTTCACTTTTCCATGAAACGAGCATGTCAACGTGTGGCCACTGCCATCAAGGACTCTGCAATTAGCAGTCCCCTGGCAGCAGGGCGCAGCTGTGCAACACCACCCCACAGCACGGCTCCAAGTCTCTGGGTACCTGCTCTGCAGGGGGAGCAGATCCCAGAGCCCAAAGGAGCAGCGAGTCTCCAGAAGACCCCTCGGGGGCTCTAAGGGCTGTGACGTGATAGGCCATTAGCCTTCCAAATTCTATTTT